TTTTAGATGCTTATATGCAATATTTCGATCATCACTTTTTCATGTCATCCTTGGAATATAGATGTAGTTAGAGATGAGGAATCTCTCTATGTTTTATTTTTCCTTCTCTCTCTCCTTTTTATTTATTTCTTTATTTTATCGCAGCTAATCTTTATATTATAGCCAAATTTGTTATTTTCGTTATTTTTTTTTAAAAAGTCCGTTGTTATTTTCGTTTGTGAGGTTAAGATTGGATTTTAGTATTGAAAAAGTATCCCTTTCTTATCCTTGGAGTAACGGTCCAGGTCCATTAATTGGGGGAAGATTTTCATGTACATGCCTTTTTCAATTTATATTATTACAAAGTTGCTATTTTTAATTCTCTCATACTCATGACTTTAGGAGGGAAAATAAAAAATCAAATTCTAGCATGGCACTACACCACTACCTATTTTTATTTTATTTTTTAAATTTTAATAGTTAAATAACATGTGATAAGGATTTGAACTTTTGACTTGATGACATATTCATTAACCTGTTTAATTATGTTGAGGTTAATTTTTTTTCCTTCCAATTTTTGATTTAGCTATGTTTGTCTTTTTTTATAAAATTAAAGTAGTAATTTTTGGTTTATATTTTCCCCATTTTTTGACATGATTTTTTTTGTTGTTGCATATTTACTAGGCTTGTTCAGAGGTTGGTCGGCGATGAATCAACGAAACCAATGTTTGGAAATCGACATTTTTTTCTCTTGATATTTTGCATTAGTCAGTTTAGGATTAAACAAAAATTTTTAAATACGCTTTTGAAAGAGAGAGTATTGGTAGGTTTCTAGGAATTTTCATCGCTACGGGGTTGGCCATTAAGAGGTTGCTAGGGTGCTTGGTTGTTGGGAGGTATGTCAACACTAAGGGACACTAAGGGACTGCCTGTTTGGAGGTTTCAAAAAGGTAGTTTGGGATTAAGTTGTTTAGGAGTAAGATGCATGGGAATTAAAGATGTGTTTGGTTGTATATATACATTAAAATAAATGAAAATAATAACGAATCAATTATGTTGCCAATTTAATACAACGGTTAATTGAATAATTAATAATAAGTGTTTTTGAGTTTTTGAAGGGATAGAATTAATTTGTTTCTCAATCATCATTTATAGGTACGAAAGAAAGTTCAAGTTTTTGATAATAGCTAGAATTAAAAGAACAAAGAAACAAAAGGAGAAAAAAAAACCAACGAAAAACAAATAATAACAAAGCATCTAGAAAATTTTGATTTATGGATATGAAATAATTTTGAGCCTTTGAAACAAAAAATTAAAAGAACAGATAAGAAAAAGAAAAAAAAAAGAAAGAAAAAGCACCAAAGAAAAAATAAATAGCATAAAACTAAAGCACAAATCAAGAGAGAGGGCTCAGTTTTAGAGGAAAGAGAGTGAGAGTTTTCAAAGAGAGGGGTTATCAGAAATAGGTTTTAGGTAAATCATTTCAAACTTTCAACCAAACAAGACTTTATATTTATAAATCCATTCCCACCTTTTAAACTCTTAAACCAAATGGGCTCTAAGGGGATTGGGAGGTGTCATGTCGATGGGAGGGGGTTTGGGAGATAGTTGACGGGACGGAGGAGGACTGGAGGAGTCGTGCCACCGAGGGGTTGGGGTTTGAGAAACAAGAGAAAGAAATGGGTCAACCATTGACCGATTGTGGTTAAAAATCGATCAATTCGGTCGGTTTCGATTAATTGGATCAATTTTCTGATCACTTATACACCTGTATAGCTACGACATATATAGTTGCTATAAATATAATTTACTAGAAATTATTTAGAGGACAAATGTGAAATATAAAACCAACATTTTTAGCCTTTAAAATTTAACCAAGAATTCATTTTATTAGAGAAATATATTGCAAAACAGAGACAATTGTCTATAAATCAGC